CCTTTCCCCATCCATTTTCCTGCCCCTTTACCCTCTGAAATACCCACCTCATTACCTGCCCCCTCACCCCTCCCATTATTTGCCCCATTACCCCCAAAAATACCCCCCCTATTCCCCACCCCTTCATTCTCCCTATTCCCCACCCCTTTACCCTCCTCGTTACCCTCCTCGTTACCCGCCCCGTTACCCGCCCCTTTCCCCGCCCCATTACTCTCCCAAATACCCGCCCCGTTACCACCCCTTTTCCCTCAGCCATGGCCACGGCAGAGGGGACGTTGGGGACGTGGGTGCCGGGTGTCCCCAAGGACTGCAGCAGCGACGACGCTCACGCCATGGGTCGGGGCCCCTTGGCCATCCTACGCCAGGTACCAGTTACCGGGGTCCGTACCCCCCACCCCGACCTCTCACCGTGTCCCCCCAAGCTCAGGACCCCCCCATTCTGTGGTGTCCCCCCAGGTGGTGGCCGCCTGTGCCTACCCCGAGCTGCTGGGTAACCCCACGGTGCCCGAGGGTGCCCGGCACCGGGCACGACGTGTCCTGGGGGAGATGGACGCCGGAAACATCGGTAGGGTCTGGCAGGGATCGTGGGGTGACCCTCACCAGAGTATGGGGGGGCACCCTGGGGAAGGCTTATGGGGTGCTTTGGGGGGTGACCAGCATGAGTAGAGGGGTGCCTGGCATGGCTTATGGGGTGTCCATGGGGTGGCTGCAGGTTCTATGGGGTTTCTAGACCCATAGGGTGCTCTGGCATAGCCTATGGGGTGCATGATTGATCTATGGGGTGCTCGATTGATCTATGGGGTGCTCAGACCTATAGGGTGCCCCAGAACAGCCCCTGGGTGTGGGGGGTGCCTGGGATGGCTTATAGGGTATCCATGGGGTGGCTGCGGGTTCTACGGGGTTCCTGGACCCATAGGGTGCACTGGCATAGCCTATGGGGGGCATGATTGATCTATGGGGTGCTCAATTGATCTATAAGGGTGCTCAGACCCATAGGATGCCCCAGAATAGTCCCTGGGTGTGGGGGGTGCCTGGCATGGCTTATAGGGTATCCATGGGGTGCCTGCAGGATCTATGGGGTGCTCAGACCCATGGGGTGTCCCAGAATAGTCCTTGGGGTGCCTGCTTGATCTATGGGGTGCCCAGACCTATAGGGTGCCCCAGAACAGCCCCTGGGTGTGGGGGGTGCCTGGCATGGCTTATAGGGTATCCATGGGGTGGCTGCAGGATCTATGGGGTTTCTAGACTCATAGGGTGCCCTGGCACAGCCTATGGGGTGCATGATTGATCTATGGGGTGCCCAGACCCATAGGGTGCCCCAACACAACCTGTGGGGTGTCTGCATCATCTAAGGGGGGACCCAGTCCTATGGGGTCCCTGCTTGACCTATGGGGTGCCCAGACCCATAGGGTGTCCCAGCACAGCCTGTAGGACACCCAGCGCTATGGGGTGCCTGGGACCACCCCCATGAAATGCCCCTTTCGGGCAAGGCCATGGAGGGATGGGGTGGGGCCATGGGGGGGTCCCAGGGGATTTGGGGTGCCCAGGACCGTCTCCGTCCCTGTCCCCAGGGGGCTACAACCACGAGCACCGGGGGTTGGGGGTCCCCACCAGGGTGGCCCGTTTCCTCCAGCGCCGCGATGGGGGGGTCCCCTGTCACCCCCACAACATCGTCCTCTGCAGCGGCACCTCCAGCATCCTCCCGGTGAGTCC